GCGCTGACGAGGGGGCTCGGGGGCACCTGGGCGTGGGGCAAAGGGCACGGTCACGAGCGGTGGCTGCCGTCAAGGACAGCTTAGAAAGCCAGGCCCTGGGGGCACGACGCCAGCGGCCCACGGACCCCGGCAGGTCCTTTCCAGCACATGATCCAGGCGCGTGCCTCCCCTGCTCACACACCATCCATGGCTCCCCGTGCCGCTGGGCGGGGGGTCTGTGCCCGCTCCTCCCCCCTTGCCGGCCTGGGCCCTCACCAACTCCCCAGGGGCAAACCAGAGGCAGGCTGGTCTACACCTGCGGATACTCGCCATCTGTAAAAGGGGGCAGGGACAGCCTGAAAGCAATGCTCCAGTTCCGACATGCCATCTAAGATTCCAGCAGGAAGCCCTGCCAGGCCGGATTTCTGGTTTCTGACCCACCCCATTGCCTGGACCATGGGCCCTGAGGGTGGAGGCCAGCCTGCTTTTCCATATCTGTAATCCACCTGGGCCCGGCCCACAGACGGTGCCGAGTACACTAATGCAAGAAAACACCCAGGGGCAGTTTCCTGCTTTGCCCCACACGGAGCCATTTCCACCTCCAGTCTTCAGTTCTGCCATCTGAGTTGCTTCGTCACCGGTACCTACTGGATGTCCTCCCTGACCCCAGGCTGGGGCCAGACCCCCATGACATGCTCCCACACCCCTCCCCTGTGGTCCCTGCCACAGGTCTCTTTACCATCTGGGAGCATTTGGTCTTGGGTGCCAGCACAGTGCCCAGCTGCTTCAGGGGTGCCCAGGTGGGTGTGGGGGGCAGGAAATGCTGACCTGATGGGAGGTGAGCCCCAGTGCTGGGCTGGTGAGCTCCCCTCCATCTTGAGATTTCTCCCTCGCCAGCCTGGCTGCTTCCTTCACTTCCTGGAACTTCTCAGCAAACTGGGGAGGAGAGGGAGAAAGAGACAGTTGAGACACCAGCTGCACCCCCCCACACACACTAGTCACCCTCACCTAGCCACTGCCCGTCACTTTGGGGTTTTTTTTGGTTTTGAGTCAGTCTCACTCTGTTGCCCAGCCTTGACCTGCTGGGCTCAGGCAATCCTTCCGCCTCAGCCTTCCAAGTAGCTGGAACTACAGGCATGTGCCACCATGCCCAGCTAATTTTTTTTCTATTTATTGTAGAGACGAGGCCTCACCATGTTGCCCAGGCTGGTCTCGAACCCATGGGCTCAGGCAATCCTTTCGCCTTGCCTCACAAACTTCTGGGATTAGAGACATGAGCCACCACGCCTGGCTAGCCCCATCACTTTGGAAGGGAACTTCAGAACTGTGCCTATCCCCTAGGTTTGGAAAACAACGTCCCCCCATGAGCACAGCAGGTACCATGGTGGGTGGGCGGGTGGTGTGAAATCTCTGAGATGGCATTAAGCACAGTGTGCCATGCTGAGAACGCAAGTTCCCTTTCCTCTCTGTCAGGCTCACTTCAACAGAGAGAGCCTTGGGTCGGTGCTGATCTGTCTTTAACACCTGCTAATATCCCTACCCAGAGAGTAGGTTCAGGCTCTGTGAAAAAGACACCCCCTTCTTGTTTCCCTTGTATAAATGCCTACCACCTATAACAAGCAATACCAGTTTTCTAGCTGCGATAGGCTAAGACCTTTTTTCCAATTTAAAAATAAATCTAATAAAAATAAACTAATAAAAACAATTTTTTAAGGCCAGGCACAGTGGCTCATGCCTATAATCCCAGCACTTTGGGAGGCTCGGGCAAGAAGATCTCTCATGACCAGGAGTTCAAGCCCAACCTGGGCAACATAGTGAGACCCTATTTCTAAAAATAAATAATTTTTTTTTTTTTTTTAGTTGGAGTCTCACTCTGTCGCCCAAACTGGAGTGCAGTGGCCGCTCCCAGCCACCACAGCCTCGACCTGCTGGGCTCCTGCGATCCTTCCGCCTCAGCCTTCCAAGTAGCTGGAACTACAGGCGTGCGCTACCATGCCTGGCTAATTTTTTTTGATTTATTGTAGAGATGAGGTGTCACCAAGTTGCCCAGCCAAGTCTCGAACCCGCGGGCTCAGGCAATTCACTCACCTCAGCCTCCCAAGGTGTGGGATTACAGGCTGAGCCACCGAGCCTGGCTAAAGTAAATAATTTTTTAAAGAAAATATTAACAAATAGCCACTTGGTTTGTACAAGGCATTGGCACAATTCATTAGAGGAAAATTGTCCTTTTTTTTTTTTGAGTCAGAGTCTCACTCTGTTACCCAGACTGGAGTTCAGTGGCACACTCACGGCCACTGCAGCCTCGACCTGCTGGGCTCAGGTGATCCTTCTGCCTCAGCCTTACAAGTACTGGAACTACAGGTACCTGCCACCATGCCCGGCTAATTTTTTGATTTATTGTAGAGACAAGGTCTTGTGCCAAGTTGCCCAGGCTGGTCTTGAACCCCTGGACTTGCAATCATCTCACCTCCACCTCCCAAAGTGCTGGGATTAGTGAGCCACCACACTTAGCTGAAAATGATCTTTTCAAAAAACTGCCCATGGCCAGGCATGGTGGCTCATGCCTGTAATCCCAGCACTTTGGAAGGCCAAGGCGGGAGGATTGCTTGAGCTCAGGAGTTTGAGACCAGCCTGGGCAACATAAGGATACCCCTGACTCTACAAAAAGTGAAAAATCAGCCAGCTGTGGTGCCATGCACCTGTAGTCCCACCTACTCAGAAAGCTGAGATGGGAGGATTGCTTGAGACCATGAGTTCAAGGCTGCGGTAAGTTATGATCTCACCACTGTACTCCCACCTGGGTGACAAAGTGATACCTTGTCTCTAAAAACTAAACAACACAGCCCACTTCAGTACTCGTGGGGAAAAAAATGAATCTCAACCCCTACCTTGTAACACCCATGGAAATTAATTCAAGACCTAAATTAGAAAGGTAAATTATAAAGCTTCTAAGAGAAGACAAGGCATGACTTCAGCAAGGCATGTAGAGAGCTACTCACCAAAAAGAAAACAGTGGATAAACACAATATAAAGGCAGGGCAGGGTGGTTCACATCTATAATCCCCGTGCTTTAGGAGGCCAAGACAGAAGGATGGCTTGAGTCCAGAAGTTCAAGACCAGCCTGGGGCCGGACACAGTGGCTCACACCTGTAATCCCAACATTTTGGGAGGCCTAGGCAAGAAGATTGCCTGAGCCCAGGGGTTCGAAACCAGCCTGGGCAACATGGTGAGACCCTGTCTCTACCATAAATCAAAAAATTAGCCGGGCCTGGTGACAGGTGCTTATAGTTCCAGCCACTTGGAAGACTGAGGTAGAAGGATTGCCTGAGCCCAGCAGGTCGAGGCTGCAGTGGCTGTGATTGTGCCACTGCACTGCAGCCTGGGTGATAGCCGAGAGTGGAAGGAGGCGATGGTGAGGGTACTGCTGGGCATGTGGAGAAGCGCCCACCTCAGCCCAGCCACTCTCTGGATGCCCCAAAGAGGGGCAGAGTGTGTCCAAAATTAAAACAACAACTAGGACCCAAGCCAGGGAACCTGGAAGATGGAGGCCTGGGACCTGCCCAGCCCCACCAGCTCCTCCCCCCACAAGGCCCACCTGTGTCAGATGCTGCTCAGAGGCAAAGCCAAGGCCATAGACGGTGTTGGCGCGACTGTCCGCCCACTGCCCGAACTTCTGGGAGGTTTTGGTAAAGGTCATGTTGGGGGTGACAGTGCTGTTGATGATGGCCTGGCGGGGAGGGGGCAAAGTTCAAGGTTGACAGGACCGGTAATAGCAAACATGGCTGAGGCAAGAGGATGCTTGAGCCAGGAGTCTGAGACCAGCCTGGGCAACATAGCGAGACACGCATCTCTGTAAAAATTATTTTAAATGAGCCAGGTGTGGGGGCACCTGTAGACCCAGTTACTCGGGAGGCTGAGGCAGGAGGATCACTCGAATCTAGGAGTTGGAGTGAGCCAAGATCACGTCACTTCACTCCAGCCTGGATGACAGAGCAAAACTCTATCTCAAAAAAAAAAAAAATTCCATAAAGCCCCCAGGTATCAACTTGTTTTAGGGTCTCAAGGTCCTTGCTCTGAGCTATTTCAAGAGGCAGAAAGACTGAGGTCCAGGAAGGCTGGGGTTTCCCACCCCCAGAGGCACACAGCAAGGCAGCCCCCAGATCCAGGCCCACCGCCAGGACCTCCGTGCCTAGGCCCCCTCCAGACCCTGCTGGACCTTGGCGCCCCCGATGCTGATGATGCGGTAGACATTGCGGGTGGCATCGTAGAAGTAGGAGACTGTGAGGGCGTGCTTGCCCGCTGGGATCCAATTGCGCTTGGTGGTTGGGTCAATCTGGAACACATGCGCCCGTGTGCTGAAGATGGGTTGCTCCCTGCGTGGGGAGAGGGTGTCAGAAGAGGCCAGAGCCCGGCTAGGAAGCTCAGGGCCAGGCAGGGCAAGGCAGGAGCTCACCTGGCTGTGGACATTGGTCAGGCTGGGCTGGACGGGCTCTAAAGGGCAGCCAGAGGGGTAGCAGGAGCTGCGGCTTTGGCCCCTGGGGAGAGAGGGGGCCTGTGAGTGTCCCTTCAGCTGAGGAAGGCCAGGCCGGCCCCATCTCAGGCCCCACCACCAGGTGCACCATTCACAAAACTTCAATCAAAAAGGCAAGAGAAGGCCAGGCGTGGTGCCTCTGGCTTGTAATCCTAGCACTTTGGGAGGCCGATGGGGGAGGATCGCTGGAGCCCAGGAGTTTGAGACTAGCCTGGGCAACACAGCAGGACCCCATCTCCACAAAATAAAAATTCAGCCGAGCATGGTGGTGCGTGTAGTCCCAGCTCCTCAAGAGGCTGAGGTAGGAGGGCTGGCCGAGCCCAGGAGGTCAGGGCTGCAGTGAGCCATGACTGCGCCACTGCACTCGAAAAAGCAAGAGAATCCTTTTAGATCACTCAGAGCAAGAGGACCCCCTCCTTCTTCATCTGGGGCCGTCCAGGAACACCCTGAGCAGGAGACGGCGCTCGGAGAGGAGCCAGGCGGCCCCCGACATCGCAACGTGACCCCTCACTGCCCTGGTGATCGGACCGGCGGGGACGCTCCCTCCATCCACGGGCCGGGCCTCGGAGGCCGCGGCCAACGCCGTTCTGCAGTTTGCCACATCCACCCGCGACGCCCCGAAGCAGGGCCTTCCGTCCCGAAGCGGGGCGTCGACAAGAGCTCACAGGGAGGCCAGTTCCTCGCGAAACCCTCAGAGGGACCCCTCGGCTCCCGCCCTGGGGCGGAGGCACCCCTCGGAGTCAGCCCAAATCCCCAGGGAGCCCCCGGCCTTGTGAAGACACGACACAGGAGCCGGCAGGCCCCGAGCACGTCGCGGGGGCGGGGCAGAACCCAGGACCGGGACGCGGCTCCGACCTCCGTCCAGGCACGCGCTGCGGGGGGACGTCCTGCTCCTTCCCCGGGCCCCCAAGCGTGCATGAGCAG